CAACAAACATTTATTTTTGACAGTTGTGGAAGCTAGAAGTCTGAGTCCCAGGTGTGGGCAGATTTAATGTGTGGTGACAGCCTGTTGTCTGGTTCTTGGTCAGCCATCTTCTCACTGTGTACTCATAGAGCAGAAATAGCCAGGGAGCGCTCAGGTGGTCTCACATTAGGACACAATCCCAGTCATCAGGGCTCCACCCTCATGATAGAACCTCTCAGAGGCTCAATACTGTCATACTGGGGTTAGGATTTCAATATATAAATTTTGGGGTGACACAAACATTCAGTCCATAACTTCCCTTCATATCTCAAAAAAGTACATGTAGATGTCTCTTTGAGTAATAACTTGATATTTAGCTTTTCTGATTTTGATTCTTTAAAAATCTCTTTATTGTTCATTACTATGTTTGCCTTTAAATTTCTGTTGTAGCATTTTGGTTGCCTTAAATTTCTTCCTCCCTTTCTATATCCTGATATAGTTAACTCTCAGCTGATTTGTATGAATAAAAAGAAACACAGACCCAGATAACTCAAAACTAATTTATTAGACTTTGGATTTAAGATGATTTTGTGCCAGATTTGCATTCCAACTTGGGTTTTATTTAAGCAGCTCTTATGATTACTTTACATTCCTTAAGCATGTACCAGCTGGCCAATAGAATAAATAGACAGGCCTGAGGAAGCTGAGCTAGGGTGTATCGCTGAAAATTGATTGTTGTTTGTTCCTGTGCCCCAAAAAATGTCTACCTAATGACCTAGCTTTCTTGGACTTCTTGTTTGTGTTAAACTTGATACTCTAATAAAATGAATTTGTTTTACAAAGAAACCCTTAAGATACTTAAAGGGTATAAGTATAAAAATTACTGTAACTAAAACTAATTTTGATGTTTTAATTGTTTATGTTCACTGTGTACTTAATTCTTATATATTCTCCTATTTGGTTGCTTTTCCTGTATTTTCATTTTAGTTTACACTCTGTTTTATCATCTCATTAAAACTGTTTTATCATCTCATTAAAAACCATCTTGTTTCATGATGATGATGTTTCATAATCTTTGAATAATTTAAGTATTTAGCATCTGTGAAAATGTGCAGTAGAAACTGGACTTATCATCTCCTTACCCAGGAATTCTTTAGTGAAAGTCCTATAGTAGTGAGGAAAACTACCTGACTTACTATGTTTCCTCCTTAATTTTGAAGGTGATGTTGTTATTTCAAGGAGAGACTACATGATTGCTAGGAATTGTTGTTTACCTTCCTGCAAGTAAGGCTTTGCAGAGGGAGCTGGTAAGGCGAATTTGGAGTGGGAGGTAGTGAATGCTCAAATGCTTAGGACAAAGCATTGAGCAGTCCTTCCTTCCACCCCTCCAAGATCAGCATTATCATTCAGTTCTCCTTGAATGAGTGCAGAAGCAATGGCAGCCCTGTTAGGCCTCCTTTTTTAATTTCTTTTATGTATTTTAATTTTTGCCTGTTTTAATGATAAAGAGAAAACGTCTTCTCCAGGACTTGCTGTGCAAATGTTTGTGGAAGAGACAGGAAGTATAACAGAAAGATCAAGTGATTCATAGCCATAGGCCCTGGCTGGTGTGGCTCAGTGGATTGAGTGCCAGGCTCTGAACCAAAGGGTTACCAGTTTGATTCCCAGTCAGGGCACATGCCTGGGCTGCAGGCCAGGTCCCCGGTGGGGGGCCCTCAAGAGGCAATGACACATTAATGTTTCTCTCCCTCTCTTTCTTCCTCCCTTCCCCTCTCTAAAAAATAAATTAAAAAAAAAAAGATTCATAGCCATAAACACATGGAACCTTTTATTCTGTTTTTCCTCTTCTGTGATCATTAGCAATATTACCTTGGGGAAGTTAGTCAAACCAATTACAAATCCATAACTTGGATCTACCCCAACCATGGGTATGGGGTACTGCTTCCCACGTGTGCTGTGGGCTTCAGTGGGGAGAAGATTGGATAGCTGAATGCCATCTTCACCCAGTCAGAACCCCAACTTTTACTATCTTTCAACACAACTGAATTTATTTCACCCCAGGCAGTCTTTCTCATGTACCTTCTTTTCCTTTAATTGTAGTAGTAAGGTTTCCTTAATCATGGCATATGGTAACAGCACTAGAGGTAGTTTTAAATAAATAAAAACCACCGAAGAATCGCTGTCAAACTTCATAGCTCTTGACGGTGCCTAGAATATACATTCAGGGTCCTTCCAAGTGTCCTGACTGGGTATTCTTGCCTTTAGGCATACAGCATTTCAGCTGTGTTATGACACAAATTGGCATTTGTGGGCTGGTCCATAAAAGCTAGCCAAAAATTTTAACAGAGTTTTTAAAAGAAAATGCATTCTAGTTTATTTGTAATGGATACATAGTTTGTTCATATTGAGGAACTGTCCAAACAAGTTTTTCCCTAATGATTATTTAACTGCTTTTGTTGTCAGAAGAGAGAGCACATGGGTGAATCCAAGTCTGACTGATTGCCTGTTTTTATGTAGACACTACCACACTAATAGATGAGAATAGGGTATTTGGAATATTTTTACCCTTTGATATTCTGTACTCACATCAATAAGGGTGAAAAAGGATCTCTGTTTTGGAGCTGGATAGGATAAATTTTTCACGAAACACTGTATAAGATGAATCCTTAAGATCATGTCAGTAGGTTGTATTATTATTATTATTTTAAAGAGGTGGAAGGAAAAGCATGTGTGGTAATCAGCTGTGTTTACCTACTCATGATACCAGCAGGCTGGCCTGTGCAACATAATCCAATTGAGTGAGTCCAGGGTAAGAAGACACTCAGTTGGTCAGTGTTTCAGTTCTTCACTGACCCTGTCAGTGGGCTCTCCCAAGACGGATTAGAAAATGTCATGCTGCTGCCCTGACTGGTGTGCCTCAGTTAGTTGAGTGTTACCACACAAAACAAAAGGTCACTGGTTCAGTTCCTGGTCAGGGCACATGCCTTGGTTATTGGTCCAGTGCCCAGGTCGGGGCACGTACTAGGGACAACTGAATGATGTTTCTCTCCCACATCAGTGTTTCTCTCCCTCTTTTTCTTCCCTTCTCTCTAAAAATAAATAAAATCTTTTTTTTAAAGTCTCACACTGCTGAGTTAGCTGAAAAGTCTAACTCAGTAAGACTTTTTAAAGATCTTACTATTAATAATAGTTTATTTAAAATGTTACATAAAAGTAGCCATGTATATCTATTGAAGATTAAGTGAAATCTATTGAAGATTAAGGTGAAATAGTTTGAAAGTATACTGTTAGAAATATGGAAGTAAATACTAAAAGAAACATAAAAAAATAGTTGAAATTGTTTGGGGGGGTTGGTGGATAGGAAAGCATAACACAGAAGACTGTGTGCTGCATATTATTACAAGTCTTTAAATAATATTTTTAAGCTATTGCATGTTTAAAATAAAAATCAATATAAAACATTTTTATAAACTAATAGAATGTTAATATTTGAGAATTATGTAAATAGTATCTATAGTAGTACTGTAACAGTGCAGTTAAATGGTTTTATACAGAATCAATATATAGTTATCCAGTTTCAGAGCATTCTGATTAGATTTATACTTCTGTCTTTGGATTATGTTTGTTTTCACCCTTTACCTCTTTTTTCTTTAACTTTATTATTTATATGTCAGAAGTAATAAAATCAAGGATGGCCATCTTCATATTTTACTATCTATTCTTAGCACCTTGCACAGTATCTTAGACATAGTAAAGTCCCAGAATATGGTTGATTAGTTTTCAGGTTTTTAAAATCTCTTAATAAAAATTATACAGATAATACAGATTCACTCTAGAAGAAATAGAACATTTAGAAAAGCAAACAAAAAAATAGAAAATATCCCCAATTCACCTTACTATATTGATAACATCTCTCCAGATGTTTTCCTATGCAATATCTGCATGTAAATAAAATTTCTTTAATATATCATCATATTTATTTATTTTTAAAGAGAGGGGAAGGGAGGGAGAAAGAGAGGAAGAGAAACATCAATGTGTGGTTGCCTCTTGCATGCCCCCAATTGGGCCCCTGACCTGCAACCTAGGTATGTGCACCACATAGGAATCAAACCAGCGACCCTTTGGTTCACAGGCTGGCACTCAGTCCACTGAGCCACACCAGCCAAGGTAGGTGTAAATAAAATTTAAAAGAAATTATCTTACATACAGGGATGGGCAAAAGTAGGTTTACAGTTGTTCATAATAAATAATAATACAAGAATAAACTGTTTCACATACAACTATAAACCAACTTTAGCCAGCCCTTATAAGTTGTTTTGTACATTTTGTACCCAGCTTTATACACTAAATATGTTATGAATTTCTTTCTGTGTCAAGTATTCATTTGTTTTCACTTTTAATGACTGCCTAATCTTCTATCTGGACATGCCATAATTTATTTAGCTAAGCCATTTTTAGTAAACATTTAAGGATTTTATTATTTTTCTTCATTTGTTAACAAGTTGTTTAATGAGTATCCTTGTACATATGGTTTTGCATACCTATTTGAATATTTCATAGGATAAAGTAGAATTCTTAGGCCAACAGGTATGTGTTATTTTTAATGCCCTTTATCAGGTTGTCAAATTGTACTCTAGAAATGTTATATCAGCTTCAGTCCCAAATGGTAGAGAAATGAATATCTATTTTACTTACTCCTTCACTAACAGGTGAACAAAAAACAGATCAATCATTGTTGGGTGAATTTGTATTTCTTAGAATAATAATGCATTTGAACATTTTTAACATGAATATAATTTGTTATTTTGACTTTAGTTTTCCATGTTTTTCACCTTCCTGTAAAAAATTTATTTTTAATTTTATATGTTCAAAACTATCAGCCATTTAAAAAAATTTCTTCCCCAATTTTGCAATTTTGTGTTTCAGAGCTGTTCCTTTCCCAAGATCACATAAATGAAATAAATTGAATTCAGAATTTAGTGGGGTGACTACCTCTCAAGTTTCCTCCTTTTTCCCATCAGGAAAGCAATAGAAGAACTGCTTAAAGAGGCAAAACGTGGGAAAACAAGGGCAGAAACAATGGGACCCATGGGATGGTAAGTACTTGAGTAATCTTCCTTAAAACTTAAAATAAATACTAAAGAGAAAAGTCTCACTAGCAAATAGAGGGAATGTAAAACCATGGATTTGGAGGAACTCACCCAAGGCAAGTAGAAGAGAAGAACACCGCTGAGGCTGAAATTGAAGAACTCTAATAACATGAATAAATGGGCAGAGGGATGTGTATGGAGAATCACTGTTGTGGTTTTATCATCTCTTTGCTTCCCAAGTCCCCAAAAGATATATAGATACTACTGTACCTAAAGATACCTATGTGACAGTAACATTATATCAGTGTTTATTGTTTAAGAATTCTGTTTTAATTATAGTCACTAGTAAATAACACTTTACTTAAAATAATTCTAATTGTAAGTATTTTGATTATGAGACAAATCAGCCATCTAGAACTAACATTAACCTTTGCAGTTTCTATACAAAATAGAGCTGATTAAAACTTAGTAATATAAGCAAAGGAAAAATTTAGTCCTAAGGATCAAGTCTGCTCTTTTACTTTAGCAATAGCATTCACATTCAATAAATACACTGATTTTAGATCTTTTATCTACAATTTAAAATTTACTGTGATGGAGTACTATGAAACATTAAAAAGTAAAGTATAAAAATAGAAATACTGTCAAGGTGGCAGATTAGGTACAGGCTGTGCTGACCTCCTCCCACGCAGATCAAAATAACAACTAAACTACAGAACAACCGTCACTGAGAACCACCTGAAGACTAGCTAAACAGAAGTCTTAAAACTAAGGATACAGCTCTGGCCAGCGTGGCTCAATTGGTTGGAGCATTGTCCAGTAACTGAAAGGTTGTAGATTTGATTCCCAGTCAGGCCATATAACCAGGTTGAGGGTTTGATCTCTGGTTGGAGTGCATATGAGAAGACGTCCAATGGATGCTTTTCTCTCACATCGATGTTTCTCTCTCTCTCTTCTTCCTTTCTCACAAAGCAGTGAGGGAAAAAAAAAAGAAAAACTAAAGATATTCAGAAGAAGCCAAGTGGAGACTGGTAGGAGGGACAGATATGCAGAACAGGCAGGCCCCACAGCCATGGGTGTGGCTATTAGGAAACAGGAGGGATATCTTTGTTGTGGAGGTTCCCTCTGAGGAGTGAGGGGTCCTCACACCAGGCCCCCCAGCCCTGGGCTCCAGTGCCAGGAAGAGAAGTCTCCATAATTTCTGTTTGTGAAAACCAGCAGCAATTCTGGCTGAGTGAGATGGAGGGCTTCTGGAGTTCCTCTAAAGGGTCTGTGCATGGACTTACTCGCAGATGGACTCACTCTGAGCTCCAGTACTGGGGCAGCAGCTTGAAAATCACCAGAGACATTTAAGGAGGAACTGAATTGTCTGGCCTCTTGGCAAAGGCTAGAGGGACAGCTTTCTCCCAGACAGAAGTGCTGGCAGATGCATTATCCTTTGTTGAGCCCTCCCCTCACTGAGCCTGCAGGTGTAGGCAAACTCCAAGTCTGAGTTTCCATCAGCCTGGCTAACACATTCACCCTGCCCTGAGGATTCCATGAGACCCCATCCAACTTGCAGGTTCCACTAAGCTGCTTTCAGTGGCTTTTCCATACAAATGACTACACGCAGGCTCGCTCTGGGGACTTCCCTAAAATGTCTTAAAGGTTCACAGAGGTTCACAAACCCCAAACAAGCAGCAGCTGGCCTCAGTTGTAAACAGCCCCAAAATTGGCAAAAGTGGCAGCTGGCCTTGGTTTACAGTTTAGTCTCTCCTAAACTGGAGACATAGCAAATCTACTTAACACATAGAAGCAAACATAGGGAGGCAGCCAAAATGAGGACATAAAAAAACATGGCCCAAGTGAAAGAACAGAACAAAACTCCAGTAAAGAACTAAACAAAATGGAGACAAGCAATCTACCACATGCAGAGTTCAAAACACTGATTATAAGGATGCTCAGTGGGGAAGAGTAGATGAATTCATTGAGAACTTTAATAAAGTGGTAGGTAAAAATGGAAAGGGAAAATATAAAAAAGAGCCAGCCAGAAATTAAGAATACACTATCTGAAATGAAAATAGATTACAGGGAATAGTAAAGTAGATAAAGCAGAGAGTCAAATCAATGATTAGGAGGATGAGGAAGCATAAAATACCCAATCAGAACAGCAAAAAGATAAAAAGAAATTTAAAAAATGAGGAAAACTTAAGGGGCTTCTGGGACAATATCAAGCATACCAACATCCACATCAGAGGAATACCAGAGGGAGAAGAGACAGAGCAAGGGATTAAAAACCTCTTTGAAGAAATGATGACAGAAAACTTCCCTAATCTGGCGAAGGTTACAAGGTCAGGATACAGGTTCAGGAAGTACAGACAGTCCCAAACAAGACAAACCCAGAGAGGCTCATACCAAGATACATCATAATTAAAAGTCAAAGGTTAAAAACAGAGAGAGAATCTTAAAAGTAGCAAGAGAAAAGGGCTTAGTATAAGAAAACTCCTATAAGTCTGTCAGCTGACTCCTCAACAAAAACTTTGCAGGCCGGAAGGGATTAGTGTAAAATATTCAAAGTGATGAAAAGCAAGGATCTACAACCAAGATTATCCTACCCAGCAAGTAAGAGTCATCTTTAAGAAGAAAAAGAAAAAATAAGATTAAAATGTTAATAATAAAAAGATAACTACATAATGTAATTATTAATTAAGAGACAATCTAATTTAAAATAGACAAAACAGTTGACTAAACACTCATCAAAAATGATAAAAGATTGGCCAGTAAGCCTCTGAAAAGCTGCTCAAATCATTAGTTATCAGGAAAAAACAAGTTAAAATGACAGTGTCACAACACATCCTAGACACATACTAGAATCATGAGATAAAAAAATTTTAAAACTTCCAGTACCAAATAAAGGTGAAGATATACAACAGCTCGTTGGTGGAAATGTGAAACTGTATAACCACTTTGGAAAACAGTTAACAGTTTCTTACATGTGTACAGAATCCTTCTAACCAATTACCAGAGGACTGAAAACTTAAGTACTCACAAAAATCTATACAAAAATGTTCATAGCAGCTTTATTCATGATAGCTCAAAATTGGAAATAACCCAAATGTTCATTAGTTGATGAATGGATAAAGAAATTGTTGTTATAGCCATATATTCACTACTACTCAGTAATAAAAAGGAAGAGAACCCAGACATAAAACATCATGCAGATTTCACTTATATGACATGTTAGAAAAGCCAGAATGGATCATTGTTTGCCAGGAAGTAGGGATGGAAGGAAAGGATTTATTGCAGAACTTTTGTGGATGATGGAAACATTCTATATCTTGACTTTTGTGGTAATTGCATGACTTCATGTATTTGTCAAAACTCATAACACTATTTAAAAGGATACATTTTATTCTGTATAAATTATACTTAAGTAAACCTGTTTTAAAAAAAGAGTGTCATCATTTTACCATCCCTAATGATAGACTAAATTTAGGTAAAGATCAGCAATGACTGTTAAATGTATCAGATGGAAAATTGGTGGGGAACTTCCTGATGACTGGGTCAGCCTGACAACACCTGAACTCATTGATCAGCCTTTGCACCACAATAGGAAGAGCATACCACCACTTAAACACATCCTTGTCAATAAAACTGAACTCAAAATCTGGTCAGGTCTCCAGTTAGAACTACCCGTTTGCAGGAAATACAGAGGGTAAAGCAACATCTCAAATGAGACTATAGGGATAAAATCACAAAAATCCAAAATGTGGTGACATTCTGTGGAACAAACAATTTAGTTTAGCAAGTAAATTTCAGGGAGAAAAGGAGGAGGAGGAGTATCCTATGAATTAATAGATTTCAGACACATCTAATAAAACATGTAGCATGTTAGAATTCTTATTCAAACTAAAAGTTGGAGGTATTTGATGATATTAAGGAATTAATGTTGATTTTTATATGTGAAAATGATGTATTATTTTTAAAAAGCTATTTTTTTAAAGAAATTAGTTCTGATGTATTTATGGATGAAGTGATATAATAAAATGAAATACTGCAGTGTGAATCAATCTATATGTAACACAGATTCAATATAATACCTACCTCCTGGAAGAATGGTTGTAAAACTGTGATGAGATAATATGTCAGAAAACACTTAGCATGGTTCCTGGCAAGGAGCAGTGAATGTTATCTATAGTTAAATCTGCCCTTACCTTCTATTCCTTCTCTGTCCTTTACTGAGGTAAGTTGCCTGTGCAAATGGGAATCACATTAGTATAACCTTTGTTAGGGGCAGGGCTGCTTTGGGTTTTGGTGTAAGTAAGGTAAGACCTTTATCAGGATGACATTACTCATTGGTCCAATCTAAAGAATTAGCATAGAGCCAAATCATAAATTCAGATGATTTGACAAGTGAATAAGAAATATGAGTCAGAATTCTTGCTACATTAAGAAGTGTTCAAGAAGATGAGTTGTTTCTAGGCAGCTGGAAGTCATTGACTCTGACCACCTTTGTGCAACTTCCTGGCTTAGTAGAACTTTCTGGTAGTGAAATAACTAGTGTATCAATATCAGCCCTTTGCCCCCTTGGGAGAGTTACCATGTGCACAAGCTATCTTGAGACTTATGGAAGTGTTGTTGTACTATTTGGGTATCATACAGTTAGAGTGGCAGTTCCATAAAGTTGTTGAGGATCCAGGTTCCTTCCAGTTTCCAAATATCCCAACCATAGGTTGTGATTCTTTTCCACGTGGTCTAATATTGTAGCACCATTAAGTCCCCATTTCTGTTAGCAAAAAGGAAGAAGAGAAGGAAAACATGCCCTTTTCCCTTTAAGAACTTCCCAGAAGTTGTGTACACCATTTTTACATATACTTGGTTGGCCAGAATTTAATTTCATGTCTACATCTAGCTACAAGGACAGGAATTTAGTCTTTTTTTTTTTCCTTAGGCAGTCATATGCCAGATAAGTATCTGGTGTGCTTTTACTATAGAAGAAGGAAAGAACAGATATTAGGGGACAACTA